GGTGGATTGAGAGGTCAATGGAGTAATTCAGGTGCTGCCCACTTGAGTGATTCCAGTCCTCCGGTAAGTCCTGCGGGAATTTATCGACACCTCTGAACTCATTTGAATATTAATACCAGATTTATGATGTATATTCAGCGAGAACTTCCCCTTCAGCGCTCACCAGTGATGTCGATACAGCGGTAAATTAATCAGTCATTATGGGTTTATTATTGACTGATGAAAGTGTTGGAGAATTTTAGCATTTGAATGAACAATTTATTGAGCCTCGACATCTGTTGAAATGTCACATTCATGGGGAGTGTTTGAAATACCCCGGGACCAGCGCAATAATCTTCAAAATACGATTTATAATGCAGCCTTGGATATACTAGTTTCGTAATTATACTCGCTACAATGAGTCTGGACAGGTGTTTAGAGAAAAAATATGATAAAAAACGCATGTGAGTGAAGCAGAAAACGGTGGAAAAAAAATAATAAAGCGGAACGGTTAATCAATTATACCAATTTTCCGACCTAGTCAGGTTTATATTGCCTGCTTTACTTATGAAGAGTTCAGGCGTCGGGGTCGTCTGGAAACTTAGAATAATGACGGATACGGAGTAGATTATTCAGTGTGAATAATAAACAGGTATTGCAAAATACGCCTTGCATTTCGTTTCAATGGATTGTTTTACATTTGAATTGAAAATAATATATTGAGTAGTGAAAAAACGTTGCAGTTAAAGAGCTGTAAGTGATTGAGAATAAGAGTATAATTACGTTGCGGGTATGAATATTTTGTCGTTATTATTTATCGTCGTCATGTGTGGTAATTCTGTAATTGATAATTTATCAAAATTAGGGATTGTTTTTTTCTACATGGACGCTTGTTAAAAAGAGTTTGTCATTGTGCTGCAATAGTGACTCAAATTGACAACACGCAGGACGTATAATGATGTAATGATCATTGCAAAAAATTGCCCGATTATAATGCGACGGGCTAATAAACAATTGTAATTAAAAACAGTTCTTTCGTCAACGCCAACATCAACTTCAATCAGCAATCAAGCAGATCGAGGTGATCATCAAGGGATTGTAAAAAAACTGACAAATGTTTCGCTGGCTACATGTGTGCATGAAGTCTCAATACCCGCGAAATATTCCGGAGATAATCTCCAGAGTATTGTATGTTTCATGAGGACTATCTATGCTCATTCATGCGAAATGCCTGAAAGAAGATGTTTTTTTGCTGTGTCTCTGTATAATTTTTCTCAAAGACACCTAGAGGTCTGGGTCATATGTGAGGAGCCCGTCAACTTCGTGATCATGCGATGAGTGAAGGTATTTAAGAGTAATTACACGAACAATCATCTGAACTATGTGCATTCCTCAACGCTTGGAATTACATCGTAGAATGTCTACTTCATTTTTAATCATATATTGAGGGGGAAACGGCCTAATATCACAATAGGAGATTTCGTTACTAGGGCGACGAAATATCAGCTCATTGCGAAAGAAAAGAAACATCTTATGGAATGATTGCATGTATACGCTAGCTTTTGGCTAAAGAAATTTGTCATTAGGCTCGATAAACCGCGATTCTAACCTCGCTTCGCTCGGTTAGGTCGCGGTTTTCGGGCCCAACGACATAAAATATCGTATGTCACACGGCGATAAAAGCATTATCTGGCGAATGTGGCTTTAGAATCCGGGCCGAAGGCGAGGACAATTTTTCCCTGACACTCGTCAGAAAAGTTTTTTTCATTACACTGTCCGTAAAACGTCGGTTTACGGACACTTCGTATCCATCAAACGCCGTTTACTGACATTGTGAAGAAATAGTACATTACATGCCCGAGTCTTGGAAAACAGATCACCGTCACCGTTTTGTCGCCTCACCTTCGGCTCGGAAGGCAATCTTGCACGTGGGGGAGGGTGATGTGTTTTCCATGGCGAGGTGTGTATATTAATTTTCGTGTCGAGGGACCTGCAAAACGCCAATTTCGTGGCGCGCAGTACCACGAAAATGGGGTTTTTCAGGTCCCGTGACACGAAATAGTATATTTCGTTACGAGTGCGGAAAAGTGTTTTTTCGCACTCGCCTTCGGCTCGTGCTATAAACCTCCCACGAGCCAAAAAACACTTTTCCCACGAGTATCGAACGATATTTTTCATCACAATGTGGCGGAAATTGGACTTTTAGGCACGCGGAGCGTTTCCAATCTATACTGTTGACACAATTTCTTCCTAAACTCCCCATATTCTCCATGGCAAATCATTTGGAGTAATCTCAATCCACCAAACAGCTTCACAATTATCGTGTATTCAGTTGCTTTCTTTATCATGTTTATCAATGGGAATGCCACAAGATCTCCAAGTTAGACAAGATCTTTCGTTTGCTTTTCAATCCGTCATCAAGAGGCGACTGGCCCTCCGTTTCTCGCATTGAATGAGTAATTTTATCATACAAGAGGAGAACGTGAACAATGCCTGACACCCGAACGATCACAGCATGATTGATAACAAAAAAATCTCTGAAACGAAGGCAAATTTTTGAATATTGCGGGAAGCTCCGCATAAATTCGAGTCTGCGAGACCCATAATCAAACGTTTATCCATCGCTTCGGTACTTCATACTGCGATCCGGGGTTATCAAGCTCACTAATGTAAACGTTTTAATATTTTTTCCCTCGCAAGTTTCACTTCTTTATATTCCGTAAATACGAGTTACATCATGCTTGAGTCATCGGAAATGGATATATCCCCATTTAATCTACATAAAAATAGTAATTTCTTGTATCACTTACCGGATGGTGATCCAGGAGGCTCTTCTTTGGAATTAGTCATATCATGAGTTTCAGCCGGCGATTCTTTCGACTTTGCCGCCATCCTCGTCCTCGTGATTCTTCGATTTTTCATCAGCTGTGAAACATACATCAAAGAACCGAATTACAAAGCAACTCACACGATCATTATTTGCGGAATCGAATCGTTCCAATCAACCGTGATCTTCCGCAAGCCAGCAGCCTCAATAATAATCTATCTTATCAAGTATAAAAAATACTGCGCCGCGTCTCACGAATGGATTGTCCAAATTATCACTTGAAGAGTGCAATCGCGATATTCAAACAGCCAAAAAATATTCAAATGTCCCCAAAAGCATATTTTTACCCCAACAATTTTATTCAAAATAAACCAGTAAACAACTGATTATTTATATAACTGATTCAGTCTGATACGTCTTCGCATGCTCAGTTATTATTAACCCTCACTTCCAAAGCATCTGTCTGGTAACATCTATCTCTTCAAAATTCCCCTCATTATTAAGCATAAAAATCAAGCATTGAGTGCGACAGTGTTAATCCTAAATCACTAAATAAAATGAGCAAAAAATGAATTCATACAGCGATCTTCCAAGTGATCCAAGATCGATATCCGGTTGATAAAACAGTTGAATGATTACCGATCGAGCATGGAAATAATCGCAGATGGCGCTAAGGTCCACGTGGATCAATTATATCACAGGGATTTGGGAGGAATGTTGACGACAGGTTCACAGGATAATCCAAATAGTCTCAAATAGCTGCCTCCTGTGGGTGCAATACCTCCGTTATCACAGCGTCTAGCTGATGCCGGCATAGAAGGACTCGAGCTGCCCAGTGCATTCGATCTTCATCACTATCACCTGTTTACAATTTTCTCATTCTCACAGAAAATTGACGAAAAGTCTCTCTGACCCTACGATCTATATCTTATCGATTTTTATTCCGCGCGTGTATCACTTGAAATTGATACCGTACATTCACACGTGTCTGAGGCACAGATTTTCAATTGCCGAGAGGTATAGTCATTTGTTACTGTCCCCTCAACAATAACAATTGTATCACAAAAAAAACTCGTGAACGATAAATCACGATCTTAAAAGTGCGAGCCCGTGGAAAGCAATCGGCCAACTGGTATATGGATAGTTCAGTCGTTTTGTCGTTGCCGGAGCAGAGAGGAATCGAGTGCTGGACAGATACGGGGACGACGTGAACGGCCCCAGCGAATCATGATACACATGAGTGCGTGTGTGAAATTCTTCATGTGTGTGTGGGACTACGACTGCCGGCTTTGCAGAACTTCTCTCTTGAGTTTTATTACACGGCCAGTCCGTGCGTGATGATGACACACGTGCCGGTTACATCAAAATTTCTCATGACGGAGGAGGGACTGAGGATTTTGAGGATTTCACGTTAACCGGATGTTTTCTAGAATTGCGTTGGCTCAATATCATCCCAGATATTTCATAATCTGTCTTGGTTGGGAGTAAAACGGAGATAATCGAAATCGAGGGAGTTTAACACGATAAAACAGGAGATTCTTCTCTACTCGATAAAGAACGAATATCCACTTTGCAGATATCTGACTCGTTGAATATAGTTTCATTCGATGCAAGCCGACTGGCACTAGTCATTACTGAATAAATCATGATAATGAAGTTGTACTTTTGAATGCAAATATCGCATCTCTCGTCTGCAAAAAATCGAGCATAAAACGTGGACAAGACTGCCTTGAGACAATAAATAACTTTTCTTGGAAATTGATTGAGTCGGTCTAGTACATTTGTACATTTCAGGATTCTTATCACAAAAAATGATTAAAAAACCGGAATATGTACGTGTTCACCTCTAGTGCGACTTCCGCATGCGATTAAAGCAGAAAAAATATGGTTTTCAGGTGATGAGGTGTGATTTCATCTCTCGGAGGACAGTTGCATAGTCACTCCAGCAATTTAAATATGCACTAATCGTCGAAGAGTTATCGAATGAGTCTGAAACCTCGGTTTCTTCAGGGGATGTTTGCGGCCAACAACAGGGGGAGCTAGAATGCTCACAATCCCGCGGTAGCTGCCGCGCTTATCGATGCAGCTTTCAGCGGTAGCTTCCCTCAGTGGTCGGACACTTTCTACTGTCGCACGAGTGGAATTCCACTCCCAACATTTTCCCCCCCGCGACATTATCACTCGAGACGTTGAAGTGAAGTTGTATCGATAGTGTACTGCGTTACTTCTCACTTCTCCCTCATTCTTTCTGCGTTTCACACAGCAATTTTTACCATGACACGTAGTGGTAGATTGAGGCACGATACGGTCATCCGGTGAGTGCAGTGTGTCGGCGTCTCGCGAAGTTATTCTACTTGAATGAATAAGGAATAGCAGTTCGACTGAAGTTTTGCTCGAGTTCATCGCCGGTGTCGCGTATAACACTCACAATTGGTGACTGTCATTCATAAATTTTGGGGAAAATTTACGCTAGTGTGGAATGTCGCAACGTGAGAGTTTAACGGTGAGTGGGGTAGGCCACATGGACTTTACCACATTAACAATTTATTGAAATAGGGGTGGAATTTTGGTGTGTGACGTGTTTGGCGTGATTGTCTGTTATGTCTGATGGGTACGGTAATTGTCTTTTTTCACTGAAAGCGTGAGACGCATGATCGAGCTCTACCTATAAATAAAATCATTGGACGACGAAAAATTATTTGGCAGCACGGCTTTGGCCTCGAAAAATTGCATCATTTCTTTTAATTCTATTTTCACGATCAAAACAACAAAATACATTCGACGGGGTTTATCTTGCGTCTCAGGTCAACTGCATCGTACGACTATTCATTATTCGATGGTTTATTATTTTTTTTGCCTCGGAGGAAGTCGTTTAAATAGGAGTGAACAGATGTATGATTGTACTGTGGGCGTTGACAGTTGAGTTACAATTGACGTTTTTTTTTTCTGTGCCAAATATTCCGGGGATTGAGATTCGTGACGTTTGGTTTGTACGCCTTTTTTCGACGGAGGGTAAATATTTGTTTTTATTCGGTGCGTCTGGATTTTTCACGGTTGACTCGCGGCTGCCACTGCCAGATGTTCAAACACCTGCTCGCGAGAGAGAGACTCTTCTCCTTTCAGTGCTGTTTGTTCTTGTGTCTGATCGTTGCGGCTTAGGAGATAAACTTAGTGACGAATTTAGGGTTGTCATAAGGCAATTTTTTCGCTGAAGGAGTCGCTGGGGAAAATCGAAGGGCTTGGGATTGCACGAGGTTTCGGTTGATTCACCTCGAGTATTGGATAATCACTTCAGCCTTAGACGGGAATCAATCATTGGGTTGATAATGTACCTCTTGATCAACCATTCGTTGCAAATCCAGTGCCTTCCGCCACGTAATCGTCATATTTCATCAGGAACCGAGATGTTTCATCTGTTTGGTTGGCAAAATTAGTCGCAATTCCGGCAGTACCACCGCATACTTTAACACCGACACAAAATTTTCTTCGCTGAATAACCTGACGCACTCAGTGAATTCCACTTAATGTCGAACAGATACGATGAATAGAGTAGAGTAGAATACTTTATTTCCTTGATGCTAGTATTACAGTCTCACATCTACACAAGCCATTGAAAAATATCTCCAATAACACTCAATAAATTACAGTATTTCCCATGAAAAAAATCATCAAATTCAAGATGAATATTACGTTTTTTATGATCATTTTAATGATGAGTATTAGAAGACATTTATACAATGTAGAAGGTCACTATAACTTCAAAATCTTTATGACTGCTAATAAAAAAACTAATGATCACATCAAGGAATTTTTTTCACAACTGAATTATTTTCTTCGTGAAAAAAAAATCAATAAACATTTTAAGCAATAGCGGAAACGACTAAATATCACTATGACAATTTTCAACTTATACAACAATAACCTCCGACAACACCTCCCAGTAGAATAGCCCATTGTTACAACAACATTTTATGACGCTTGTAACGTCAGTTATACCCAGAAAATTTGAAATTTCCAGTAGAAATAATCACTCACCGTTATCATTTTTTTAACACGAACAATCATCAATTTCGAAATTGATATATCAGTTTTTGTCATCATCCAAGCGATAAGTAGTACAGTGTAGAAGGCCACTGCAGATCTAATCTATCAAAATCTAAATAACTACTAATAAAAAAACTCAAGAACACCCCAAGGAACCGTTTCTAAGGACGGAATTATTTTCTTCGTAAATACAAACTCAACAAACATTGAAAAAAATCGATTTGTTGTTGGAAAACAAGACCTCTTCCGACAATACCTCTCAGCAGAATGGAACATTGCTATAACACTTTTTATGATGTTTGTAACGTCACGTGTATCTAGGACATTTCAGATTTCCAATTCAGAATTTCGTAGACAACCAAGTTTTTCTATTCGTCTGGTTTGTGAATTTTAGACAAGTAGAAATTGAAAATATTGAAATTCAGCAATTTTGATTTCAACGCGGAGAGAAATATTCAGTAAAAATGACGGAACTCCCAATTCGCTCACCGATTACGGCATCGACTCAAAAAATTTAAGTGACGGTATCGTAATTTTTCACAGGAGATTAAGATAAAAATTACGGAACGCTCTGGCAAAATTCCGTGACAGTTCCGTAAAATTTCCAACGACCACATTTCGCACCGGAATTACGGAAAAGATACGTAATTTTTATTGAATATTTCTCTCCGGGAAGATATTCCCTCCTCATTTTCATGATCACGAAAACGATAAGTTTCACTGCAACTCTAAAATCCGAATACGACTAAAAAAACGGCCAATCATCTCGAGGAATCTTTCCTCAAAACCGAATTATTCTTTAGTGAAAAAAACTTCAACAAATATTCCAAAAAATCGATTAGTTACTGAAAAACTCGAGGACTAGAATGAGACGCTAATTAACCCTTTGAACATGTCCAGTATATACCCCCGACAAATGGAGTGGAAGCTAGCCGAAAATTCGTTTGCCGAAAATAGGAAAGCAGTGGTTCTCACGCTCGACCGAGTTTCCACCCTTGGAAGATGATTTAGCAGATTATTNGAGAACCACTGCTTTCCTATTTTCGGCAAACGAATTTTCGGCTAGCTTCCACTCCATCCCCGACAATAGCTTCCAGTAGAATAGAACATTGATATAATATTTTATGGCGTTTGTAACGCCACGTGTACCTACACGAACTTATTGCCCATACATGTTGCTTTATACTGTGCCGACAAGCTCGAGGTTTGACCCGGCACGTGGATAGAGGTAAACCGTTTCACCATCGACCCACCTCGGTGTCATATATGCCCGGTGAAAGGGTTAAAGGACACGCGATCCGAAGCCAGATAATAGGGAATTTTCCTCGTAATTATACCATGCATAGAACGTTAAAGACAATTTGCTTCCCAACCTTGTTTGAAAACATTGCTCGTGTTACTGAAACTCAATTTTCGTTTCGTAACACAATGGGAGCACATGGGCCAAGGTTTTTTTCCTGTTTACGTGTCACTTATCCCTCCGATTCTCCTAGGTTTCTGAGTCAAGGAATATCCCAAGGTAATACCACCCAAAAGTCAGTCCCTATGGATTTCCTAAAGAATGCTAAATGACTTGGTTTACTGCACGGAGAGAAATGTTCAGTAAAAATTACGGAAGACTCCGGAAAAATTGCGTGACAGTTCCGTAAAATTTCCTACAACCACATTTCGCTCCGGAATTACGGAAAAGATACGTCATTTTTATTGAATATTCCTCTGCGTGTGCATTCTCATAAGTTAGTGACTTTTTCTATCCTCATATGTTCTTGATGAAGGCAACCATAACTGTTCGAATCAAATAAGAAATTATTTGTCAATCAATTGTTTGAATCAAATAAAAAATAATTTCACGACATTTCCATTCTTTAGAGTTGAACATCGCAGAAACTATGTACTATAAAATTGTACAAAAAATTCACCCTGTTCGGAATTTATAAATCTACCACGGATTCTTTTTTTAAAAACACCGTAAGAACCGTTTTCTCGTGAGCCAGAAAAATGGAGTTCGGGGGGACCCGTAACCTCCGTTTGGCCTATGCCTCGCCCCCTAGAAGTCCGCATTTCTTTCTTTATTATCTCCTAAACTGTGCAGTACAGCTAGTTATAATTTTTTTCAATAGCTAGAGCAAATTATTCTCATTATCTATAAAAAAATACGGACGATCGTAAGAAGAACCTGTTCTCTAGGGATATACCCTAATCGATGGTTAGTCATTGCCTGCGATTGACCTCGCTTCATCTCCATTGATTACTCACCGCGTGGATTAGTCACTGAATTCATTGGAATCGATTATAATTGACAGACAATCATTCCGATGATTTTAATCTAGTGGTTTATTTCCTGGTAGTATCCATGAATATGTAATCATCAATTGCCGAATGTGTACCGAACACTCATCATAACGAACGGACTTTCGTGTCCCTCTATTTCGAAACAGAAAAGTCAATCCCCCTGATACGTTTCCCAAAAATTCGAGTGGGAAATAAACATCGGTGTGACGCGGAAGCCTAGGAGGCCATTCACTTGATGTATCTATGATTTATTCATAAACAGTTGTTCCCAATGAGCTTTCAGTGTAGATAAAAAATATAGTAATGGTCACATCCGCGTTGTGAGGTCTTCGCTGAAATAAAAACCAGTACAGACTCGATCAGACTCAGTCTGATTGAGCCTCTAATTGTCTGTTTCCTCGTGGCTAATGCCTGGGAGTAATCGGAAAGGTCATTGTCCCTTTATCGTCTGTTTTCATATCGTTTCACGTGGCATTATCAGGATTTCATGCGTGTTATCGGATTGTCTATTTGCAAATGTGATGGGCTGCTGTATGCAATCGATTGCACCCGGAGAAATTGTTTATTTCGATTGAATAAACGTTATCTAGTTCACACAAATTTAAATGTGATTCTATTTGCGTTTTTTCACATCAAAGAACATTTTCTATAATTAAACAATAAATATTAACAAGTGGTTAGTTGATTCTGATGAAGGATTGCTTAAAATTAATGAAATATTAATTTCATATAAATGATTTTACATACTGTTTCAATTGAGGGAAATACGTGAATTTATTAATTTTCAAGAAAAATATTGTTGAAATACATTGAAAATTTCGTAATCAAGGGTCTGCATAATTATCTAAAATAAGTATGCAGAAAGCTAAAGAACCGAAAGAATACGGAAGCCGATGTTTCCCTCTTACGTGGCCATTTGACTCTATAGCCACGAACTCACGATGGATGTCATACTCTTTTCCTCGTGGTGGCTACTGACGAGTTAGCCGTTGAATTTTTAACGTGCTATCACGTGGATCTACGATACTTCATGCTGTACAGCGGCCACAAATACAGTGTCCACTCGGGTATAGACTTGTTATGCTGGTTGTACATAACTTGATCTTCAAATCGGCGATGTATCGTTTATTGGCTATGTAATTACGGATGTATCATAAGACGGGTAAACATTTATTTTATCGATTAGGGAGGACAGTTTTATTTTACCTCTCTCGGAGGGTAATTGAGGAGATGAATTCTTTATGGAATTCTTGGTGTTTCTGGTGTTCGGTTCATTATGGAATTGCTCAATTAAGGAGAGATAACACTAACATTTTCACATCACAGGGGTCTTTAGTTATTGTACTGATGAGTTTACTACTTCAATTTTAATGTAAAGAAATGAGGGAACATTAGGTTTTCATTATTCTCATTGATAGAATCTTCAAAAGTGTCCTATAACACAATTCTCAATCGATTTATCTGAATTTTTATTTACACATACAGAATATAATGTTCGGTTTTGGGTTTTTGGAATTTTTTTCTCGAAATTGAAGTACGTAGTGAAGTAATCATGAAAGCGTGATTTTTTCAGATTTTTTCCATCGTTTTTCGCATTGTATTCTAAATAAACAATTTGAAAAATCTGAAAAATACCCACTTCAATAATTTATAATGTACTTGAATATAACTAATTTTTCTAATTTTTCATCTCAGCCAATTTTGGGAAGAAAACTCCAAAAACTCAAAAAATAGAAATTTTCTACAAACTCATTTAGTTATATTTGTGTGCATATTATGTATGTGTGAACTAAAATTAAAGCCAATGAGTTGCGAATTGCGTCATGAGGCCACTTTTGAAGATATTATTCTTTCAAAACTTATTTTCAAAAAATTTTTACATTAAAACTGAGGCAGTAGACTTATCAGCACGATAGCTGAAGGCACCAGCGATGTCGAAATTTCACTGCGGTCTCCCCTCAATACGAAGACGAAGGCATTGGAAATAACAGCCACATTAATCTTCTAGTTTAGAGAAACTTCAAGCTTTTGAAAATTAGTCATAAATAATGCAGTTGTGAGAGAGACATTTATTCAAATTGTAAGATAAACTTACGAATGTAAACAGTGCATGACAAAGTAGCTTGTTTCTGTTGCAGATAAATATTACGAGAATTTTATAAAATTTAAACAACATTGGAGCCAATCATGCCTGCCCTGTTTCTGGCACGTTTGCCAGTACCTAATTTTCGGATTTACACGACTCTCAGCATTGCAATCCTCTCGTGCTCGGTCTACTATGCAGCACAAATTGTGAAAGACCCAGCATGGAGGACCAATCACACGAGTATTGTTGTGAGGGATGAAAATTCAACGGATAGCACCAGCCCCACTGATTCGAGATCGTCTGGCATGCATTTGAAGGAACTACTCGCCTGCATGATTCAGGAGCCCATTTGCTTTTGGGTGAGTCGACATTTTTAAGGATGCACACAGTTCATGGAGGAAGATCATTCCGTAGAATAATTCTTTTTTATGCTCCGCTTTATTTGCTCCGCTTGTTATTTGTTGTACGTCCCGGGGGAATTTACATTCAAAAGATAGTGACGCGTTTGTTATTCATTTCCGTAGTTATATTTGTTTTTACGTATTCGGTGCACTTGGCAAATACGCACTTTCGTGTATTTTACATTCAATTGTGACATCTCCCCGTTGAGATACATTACTCATGAAAAATATGGTAATAACGGGGGAGAGTGAAGGAGACATGGTTTGATATTTGTAAACAGAACAATAATAGAATAATCATCCAATATGACATATTCATTAAACCATTGGAGTTGCAACATCTGTATTACGTGTCACACAACGCAGTAGTTGGTTTCGCCTTTTTCATCAACAATTAACATTTCTGTGCAACGAATTTAGTACTCTACGAGGGCTTATTTGCATTCAACTGTGATAACTCCTTATCGACATGAATGAAAAATACGGCGATAAAGAGAAGAAAGGAGACGATATTTATTTGAAGTATTGAAGTTGTAAGATGTATATTACATGTCACTACTTAATCATGAAGCTGACACTGGCGGAGTATTCGCGAGCAGAAGGTTCATTTTAGGACATTTTTAACCCTAGTCTGGTCACCAAACGCGACCCTGGGACTTGGTCACCTCCGCCGGGATTCGCCGCCGTGTTATTTAGGCTTTAGCGTTGCCGAATTCACTCTGCACTGCCCGGGCGCGTTTAGCGAGTTTCCGGCAACGTCGCATCTTGGGCAATTTCATTTAATATGGGAAGAAATAATTCGCCTGTTCGAAATAATTCGTTTTCTTTGGGAATTTTAGGAAATATACTGTTCTAAAAACTACCATAATTTTTTAGACACTTCAATTGACAAAGGCAATTTTTTTTTAATTTTTCCGATTAGCCAGTCAGTTGTAATTGAAGAAAAATGACGCGCGGTGGGGTTTCCCTCATAAGGTGACCAATTTAGGGTTAAGGGCTTAAGGCTCAAACAATCATATGTACAAATGTTTTTGGATATTCATGAAAGCTTTATTGAAGAATCGTTACTCCATTACTTCTTTCATCCAACAATTATTTGAAACTGATGCATAAAAATTATGCCAACATTTCTTCTGCGTCCGAAGGTTGACGTTGACTTTGTAGAATGTGGATAGCATCACTCAGCGATTTTCTGTTATGAATTTATCAAATAAAAAAAATCTCTCAATCACCGTCCTCTTAATGGTTAATTTATCCGATAATCTACTCGCCATCCTTGCAACACTATGTGACGGTTACAATGCAGAACAAATTCGTGTTTTCGTCTTTAAACGAGGCCAAATCCGTCATTCCAATGCAAACAATATTATCCTCAATATAATCTCAACTGGATTGAAGCTGATTAGTCCCGTTTATCGTCATTGAATTCGGAGTAATAAATTCTTTCTACATTTATTATCATGAATTTCTTGTAAAACATGTCATGGATACCTTGGTAGTACGGTACGACGTAGGAGACGACCGATGCAGGCGAACCTGCGTATTTCCAGTCTTCCTTCACAATAGGGGCGTTTTCATTCTGGAAAGTAAAACAACGATACGAAGAAAGGAAGGAGATTTGCGCCCGCAACGTGCAATTGCATAATATCGCCTCACTGCGGGATTATGGTATTGACGAGACTATTGATGACCTATTGATAACCAATGGGTCATCAATAGTCTCGTAAATGAATAAAATGTTGAGTAAATGAATGCATTTACTCAAATCTTGGAATTGTTATGACCCGTTATCGCTCGCGTTTCGAGGAAAGTTTTTTCTGGCCAATATGCGCTTTAGACGTAACCAGAAACGTCGATTGATAACAGTGTACATCCGCAAGCTGTATGTCACGTGGACAGAAACATATAACAGGAAAAAATGGAAAACATGGAGCAAGAAACTTTTTAATATTACTTTAAACCAAGTCATACGGAAATGCGACTGACCATTTTTCTGTTGACCCTCCAACATTTCTGGAGTTTGGCAAACGTGAGGCGAATAAGAGGAAACAAGAATGGAAAGAAAATAAATAATGGGAAATAGGTCACCCATCTTTTCAAATAGCGCGTCGTTTGCCACTGCGATAAACTCGAAAATTAGTGCCCTAATGACTGGAATGATGCCTAATACGGTGTTTTTTTTTTCAATTAAATATTACAATGGGTGATGGTCTTAGGGGTCTGGCGTCATGCCACTGCACTTACGAATTTCAGTTGGGAAATTATGTAAAGATGTAGCGTAAAACAGTTTTTGAAATTGAGTTTCTTTGGGTACTTTGTTACTGGCTCACGCGATCCCAAGGATTGCAAATAACAGTCGTACATGGAATGCGTGTTGGGTATGGGTACAGATGCCAGATTAAATCGATTTGTTCAAGTGATCGGATCGCGGAATTTTCAATTTAAAAAAATTTTTTTTTCGTCATTCCTTGATCTCATTAGAAATTTCAGGAAATCAAGAGCCGGTCGCTCACTTCGCTCACTCCTGGGTTGGGTGCGACCAACTTCCCGAAGGATTCCCTTGTTTCTGTTCGTTAGAAGAAACAAACGCAATTTTAAAAGTTTCATCCGGATGACTCTAGAGGTCATGAAACGTGGACGAATCATCGAAATTCAACAACGAAATTCTTCCTCTTGAGTCAGGAAGTTAACGAAACCAATGATTTTGTTTTTGGTTGCTTCAGCCGTTGATGAATATGGCGTACTGCGCCCTTATACTCCTGGGGAAGACCATTCAGAAACTGGTGTTTGGTGAGCTCCGAGCCTCGGAGAGACAACACCTCAAGGATAAATTTGGCAATTTTATTTTCTACAAATTTATATTTGTCTTCGGAGTACTCAATGTACAATACGCTGATGAGGTTGTGCTGTGGTGGGCCTGGTTCACTGCACTCGGTTTTCTCGGTCTCCTGAGTCAGCTGTCCAAGGATCGATTCGTATACGTAAGTAATACAACACTGAATTTATTATTGTATTGTCCTTGTCAATGAATGGAAAATCCTTTCACTTTTGGTGATTCTTTTCCAACAAATTCAGTCAATAACTGATTTTATGAGAATGAAAGCTGAGGAAATCATCAGCATGAAGGAACTTTCCATTGATGAGCATTCGTAGAAATTTTGTGATATCAGTTTAATTGAAGAAATCACATATTTCATTTTATTTTACTTGGATTATTCACAATATATTCGCAGTACAATGTTGAGATGACGAAACCAGTCGATTAACTACGTTTATTCTCATTATCTATGCACACTAATGCGCTATCAAAGCCTTTAAAGTTCGTAAATCGTTTGAAATGTAAATCTCGAATAAATCAACTCAACTTCGAGTCTCCATGTACTCCCAAGTGTATATTCTGATTTTCTCGGCGAGAAACCAGAGGGGAAAAGGATGAGTTTCAAAGCTCCTCAGAGGCCATTCTAGAAACATTGTTCGCGTTCCAATTTCCTTAGGTGACTCAAGGACTGCCACTTACCTGCAGCTTTTTTCCTCACTTAATCATAAAGTCACTCTATCACCTTTAAAAAAGAGAGAATACCCGACTCACTGAGAACAATACATACTAAATTGGGTTGACTGTGGAGTTCGTCGAAAAAACTCTTTAAAATTGACGATCAAGTTTTTCCCGTGTCGAAGTCAAAGACATAAAGCCAAGATCATTGGCTATTAAATTTTCATAACTCGACACTTTTGAGGGCCATAAATTAACATTGATCTCAGCGACTTGAAGTTTTTCACAAAAAGTGGTTATAATTCTCGCATTGCCCTCCTCCCTTTTCTTGCGCAATGAATTCGACACTCGTGAAATCCTGTTAGGGAAATCCAATAAAGTAACCAGGTTACTGGCGACGAGAGGTACCTTTTTATAACTGTGACGTGTTATTAACACGAACACTGTAGAAATCGATCCAGCCGTGAAAAAATACATTCAATCCAGGATGGTATTTCCAGTCCTCCACCATCATTTATTGGGTATTTACGCAACATGGCATTGGAACACTGACATTGCTCATTTTATAGTTTATTGGGGTACCACTAGGAGGGTGACTATAGTAAATAATCGTAAACTGGTTCTCTGATAGCCAATATTTCGTAATAATGATGCACTGTTGAAAGTTTTTGGCTCAAAGCTCCCATAAACTTCTGGGAAAATTTTTACCAAGTGATATTTCCACTGAAATTTCAAGGAATTTCGTCGTTTCAAATTCAAAATTTTATGAAAAAATTAATAGAAGTTGTCGAGTTTAATTCAATTATTTCATGAAAATGAGCAGAAATCTGAAAAATTCAGCGTGATTTGGTCCTGAATATTCATGTTTTATTTGAAAATTCGATAAAGTCGGGAGTTACCAAGGGAATTAAGAATTGAGACCCAAATTACGTGGAATGCACTATCGATTGAAACGTCGAAAATATATTCAGCTGAACTTTAATGGTTCTTATTCAGCTTTATGGAATAATTCAACTGAAATTTACAATTTCCATTGATTTTTCCCTAAAGTTTTCAGTTCAATTATTCCATGAAAATTAATATTATTCATGGAAATTCAGGTAAATAAATTCTTGATTGTTGAATTAATTCAAAATTCACCGTAATTTGGAATTCCATTTGAATTTTTACTGTGAATCTGAAATTCATCATTTTTTCCTTTTAAATCGAATTCAGTGTCACTCCCCGGAAAAATTGCAAGTCAGCTATCGATGAAATATCATTTTCTTTTAACAGCATAAACCAGTTACACACGCAAGTCGTGTTGTATGATGGGTTTTATAATGAGGGTAATTAATTATTCAAATGAATTGATTGAATTACCGCGTTTTTTTTACATACGTTGCAGCTATCATTTTCACCTACGACACCAGGCTGGAGTCATGCACGCCTGCTGGGTCTACTCGGTGCAATCCTGGCGCTGTCCTTGTTCATGTTACTACTATCGACTGCGGCAGCCTTCTTTTTCGTGTCCTTCAACACATATGCGTTTATGGCGGCCGAGGTGAGTTCACCACTCGACGCATTTTTTGGAGCACGCTTATCCTATTGACTTTCGTGGATAGCAAAATTACGGCACTGACTAGAGTCAACAAACCTACAATTTTTTCTTCTATTTTTAAACGTATAATTCAAGGGGATTAATTCTGTTCGCTATTTATATTAAACGAGGGAAAACAATAGGGTATTTCAATCGGATTGGACTATCATCGTTATGAATATTTTAGTCAGCGCTCATCAGTTCAATACATCTATTTTGAACATAAGCTAAACAGTTTTTTCGTGGACTGTTTCTTAATTACGGATTTATGAAGACTAGAAAGGAGTAGAAAAAAATAGGTGAACCATAGAGATAAACCTGATATGTGGTTCGTTGGGGCATTCAGCATAGGATTCAAATGTTCTACGACAACAGTCGTAGTGATTTTCTGAGATCAAAAATAATATTTGTGGTACATCGACGATACAACGAGGGACAAATTCAAGATAACATCAAAATATAATTCGTCAATAGGGTGACGATGGAGGAGGCTACATTTTCACGCAATGTTATACTTAGAAAATTCTTTTTCCTTATATTCAAACGTATTATTCAAGCGAATTAATAGTTTTTGCGATTTTAATTAGACGAGAGGAAATAGTAGGGAATTTCAATTTGGTTGAACTATCATTGTGAATATTTTAGGCAGCATTTATTCGCTTGAGATTGAATCACGTGAGTTTCCAGAACTGGTGTCACCATAAAAATTCCAGAAACCAGTCTGGGGAATACATAAAAAGTGGAAAATTTTGCCAGTTCCACAAGACACAGTTAATCAGACGCATTTGAAAGTCAAGGTTTTTTGTGCAGTGTTATTTTATTCCGAGGGTAGAGTGGTATTGTCGCTATGCCTTTTGAAAGTTAACTCATAAACTTGCGCAATGAGTACTTCCTTATGGATGTGAATTTTTCTCACAGCATAAAATCGACAAGTGTTTTATCGCCGATGTATTCGTAACGAAGTGTCCATACTGCGTATGGGGCTTTCCCCCTCGTTTTCATTCCGCATTATAAACAATGAAAGTCAACATCCAGGTTGCGTTCAGCATATTTTATTCATTGATGGTCAGCAGTTGTTCGACCATCAATTGATTTTTTTGAAATATATTCCTTTGGACTATTCACAATGCACTGAGATTCCTATGTAGTGGATAAAACGCGAGGTGGCTGACCAGCTTCAAGAGGATGGTAGCTCAAAACAAGTTTGCATAACGGTGAGGTCTTCCTACTTTGATTAAAATTGAAATGTTGGCTGAGAGTTGCATTCACTTCCATGAATTTTCCTCCTGTGTATGCATGAATTACTCATCCATTATTATTCTTCCTTGTTCACCTTTTCAAAAATTGTAATTTAGTGATCATAAATTTGTAACTGGTCAACTGCAACATTTTGCAAGTTTTTTTGATATGATTGAATTAATATTCAGTGATGAAATCCCTCTGCCGTTGCACAAAATTACAGATTATTGAAAACGGCTAGCAATTTCCAGAAAACCCGATTAGATTGGGAATGGTAAATTTTTTCTCAATTTAATGACTGTTTTAACTCTAGGTTGGTCACCATGTGAGGAAAACGCGCCGCGCCGCGGCGTTTTTCTTTCATTGGCATTGACTGACTGACTGGAAAAATGAAAAAAAAATGACCTTGCCAATTTAAGTGTCTGAAAAATTATAGTCATTTTTAGAAGAACCTAATGCTCGAAATTCCTACAGAAAACAAATTATTTTCAACAGAGGAATTATTTTTTTCCGAGTTAAGTGAAATTAACCGCTACGCGATGTTGCCGGAAGCTCGTTAAACGCACCCGGACGGTGTAGAGTGAATTAGGCAACGCTGGAGCCTGAACAACACTGCGGCGAATCTTCACGGAAGTGCCCAAGCCGCAGGGTCGCGTATGGTCACCCAACTAGGGTTAACCCAGAGTCTCATGTGAAAATCAATATTTTCGTTACGATTAGAGACTAAAATCTGTTTTTTTTTCATTAAAGCTGACAAAATCGATAAATTTTTCAACACCTCATAGAAAATGATCAACCCTTCTGTCAGCAACTTCCATCATCAATTCATGTGAAGCAAATATTAATATTTTGTAAAGTTTAATTTGTGTCTCAATTAGGTATGAATTTTTTTTAATTAAAAAAAAATCCTAATCTAAAGCGTAACCCATTAAAAAGGTAGAGCTCTTTGAAATGCATTCGGAATAAACAATTCCGAATGCATTTCATCCAACAATTCTTCAATAAATCTGCAATTAACGCATATGCCTCGCACATGATGATAATTTCCATCAGTACTTCTTTTCCGGAAACGGTGGAGGAACAATTCAACTCTTCACGCATGATTGATGCGTGATTAACCCCGCGTAATGAGCTGCCCATGAGAAAAACATAAACTGCGGGGTCGCAAGATCAAACGTTTGATACCTCTTTAATTTAGTAAAGAAGGCAAGTCTTTATCTCATCATCAGGTAATCGACGGTTGCCGTAAAAGACACGTAAACTTGTCGCGAAAATTTGATTAACAGCGGCTATTGATCGAGTGGGCAATATATTAAATTAGTGTGTACTGTAAAAATTAGTTATCTAAATAGTTGGGCAACACGGATAGGATTCATTTACAGTTAACAAATGGCTGCTGTTGAGTGTTTTGCAGATTTAAAGTTCGAATTAGCAATTAACATTTTTATTTGTAAGTCACTGGAATTTTCATTGTGTTAATTTATAGTTTATTCACTATCAACGCATGGTGTATTTGCCTCAATTTCTTTCTGCTCTCAAAAAAAAAATCATCACAAACATAATTTCTTGAGCGAACTATACAATCTGTTGAGAATAAATCCCTTAGGACAAATATTCTGTGAAGTGTTGATGATTTAAACATGAACACTTCGCGATTAAGTGAGAACTTTTTCGCTCAATAAGCAGTTTTTTGTGTCAGAAGGTGAGAAAATGACTAAAAATATCAAAAGATTCGACTCAGTGAATCAATAATCAGGGAATCGCCTTGAATTAATCCACTGCGGCACGGAGCTCACGAGAAGTATCGGTGCGAAAGAAGTGGGGGGACCGCCTGGGTATTGGTGCGCCATAAGAGAAGCACGGCGGAGCACGCACAGTACTACAAAAAGCCGAAAAGTGGGGTGTCCTGTCGTGCCGCAATGGGTCAATGCAGAACTCATGCGGAAGAAAACTTCTAGACTTTTCCGAAATATGAGCGTCACTTACTTCAATCGCAATCGCTCCAAATGAAACAATATGCTCATCTGTTTCTTTCAAACTTTCCTTATTGTTTCAAGAATATCAGGGGAGGGTGGGATAAAATGCACACTCTTGACTTGTTTTAAAATATTCATAACTCGGACAGATTGATCAATTGAGCTCAGTCTAGGACATCACAACGGGAAGTAATCATTCCCTGCATTCGAAAAGAATTATTTCCTTGGATCAATAATTCAACACATTATTAACATTCCAAGCCTATTGTGAATTAATTGAATTTATACGCTATGTTCTTAGCTCAAGAAATTATTCTTGCGATATCATCGTTTTTCCGCTCAATGTGTCAACGAAGTAATTTACTAATATCAACGAACATTCGCTTGGCCATATGCAGCTCATGTTAACAGTTAAAAAATCCCGTCAGCAATAAATGACTCATGATTTCGCTCCATTGACGAACTAATGTTTCATCGGAACGCGATCTCGCTTGCAAAATTGCGCGATTGGCCTTTCAGGAACAGTTAGCTCTGAACCTGAGAAAGGTCTGGGTCAATAGCCGATGCCTCGCACTCGGTATCATGGTCCGTTCCACTCTCCCTCTTCCCGCAAACACCCTCACACGTACAAACCTTTCTCTCCTTGATGTTGGCTGAATTCAAGCCCACTACCTCTGACACGATTCTAGAAAGTTGCCATTAGTTGATTTCACAATTTGCAGATTTACGTATGTGCTTGATGAATATGATTATGAGCCTGAGATGATGATGCAACACTTCATCATTCATTAACGTCATTCTCTGTCTCCGCGATGTTGAATCTCGAGGGAATAATTCATGGGTTTAAATGGAATCTTCGAGTCAATGAAGTCTTAATTGTTTCAGTGCATATTACTGGCAGTTAGAACAATTCATGTGATGCTGAGATATGCTATACACCTTTATGACACGAGATCGTCACCCCGTTCGTCAGACAAACGTGGTCCTCTTGCCTATTACACGGAACTCGTGTGTGAATTGACGGTACTTGCTGTTGACTTTCTTCATCACATTCATATGCTTCTCTGGAGTAATATTCTACTGAGTATGGCATCTCTAGTTATATGCATGCAGTTGAGGTACCTCTTCCACGAGATTCAACGCAGAATAACGAAACACAGGAATTATCTGGCTGTATTAAGTCACATGGAACAAAAGTGAGTGGAAATACATTGTTAGACGTTCATTGGGATTTATTGAACATTCACTTTCCTTCATATGACTTTGAATTGGAATTCATCAAATTCTCATTTGAGTTTTTTATATTTAACGAATATGGAAATTTCAATGATTAATTAGATTCTCAAAATTATTGGGGTAATTTGTTATTGTATTAATATCAGTGGCTGGATTTTTATAATCTTTGAGGATTTCCCGGGTCACATTGAAACGAAATTTCAATGTTTACTGAAATTCCCAAAATGAACTTCTCAAACAGCAAAGTTATGAATTCCCTGTTTTTTAATGGAGTTCATCAAATGTTATATTCATGATGAAAACTCGAGGAGTTGAATCATTCATATTTTCAAAGAATATGGAAGTTTCATCAATAAATTGAAATTGTCTACTTTCTTGCGTCTTTTCATGATCATATTGAATTAAAATTTCAATTTTCACTGATTTTTCCCATAAAGAACTCTTTATTCAGCAAAAAAAGCCATTGGAATTGAATAAAAATCCATTCCTGTTGAATATCTAAATAACTAACGTTTGAACTACCAGGGAAAACACAAAACTCTGAGGTTTTATCTCCTCCCACCACGAAAACATAAAAATGTATAATTTATCTCTCCCCTTACATTTTTAGTTACCCAATGGCACTGCCCGAAGAGTTGGCTGAGAATTCCGACAACTGTGCAATATGCTGGGAAAAAATGGAATCAGCGAGAAAATTACCCTGCAGCCATCTGTTTCATAATTCTTGCTTGCAATCTTGGCTTGAGCAGGACACCTCTTGTCCAACATGCAGACTAGTGCTAAGTATGCAGGCTAATCGTCGTGACAATGGAACTGAGTTGAGACCCGAGTTACCAGAATCACAAACGTCTGTCGGTAGAAACGACAATCATTTCTTTCATTTCGATGGATCGAGATATGTCTCTTGGTTGCCGAGTTTCTCAGTGGAAGTCACGCATAATAGACTGAGGGGTGATATTCTGACATTGGCACACAGCAATTCACAGTTGGATGCTATGGCTAGACACGTGAGTATTTTGTTTTACATAAGGAAATAAAAGGATAACTCTTACGAATTTGCAGGAAAATTCTATTCAATTTCTATTATACTTTCTACTAGTCAACAGAAATTTTCAACAGAAATTCCTCGGCTCAAATTTTCTGTTTATTTCTGTTTGATTTTTTAACGAAAAGAGAAGAATAAAGTGGAAAAACTGGAAAAATGCATGTCAAGAAATTTTACTCATTTTTTCCACAAAATAGTTTCTATTGGACTTCTTCAATAAAGTCGACAAAAAAATGATAGAAGTTCGATAGAAATAAAATAGAATTTTTCTGTCGAATTCACTAGGTTTTCCTATAAAATTTTTTCGTGTACGATCATTTAAATTTTGTAATGATAAATGTCTCTGGTCTGTTAAGGTTCAACAATTGTTCCCACATTACCCAAGAAATGTGGTACTTGAGGACTTGAGAGTGACGAGATCCGTTGAATTGACTGTAGAGAATATTTTAGATGGACGTTTGTTATTACCTCATCATGTTCTGGGTGAACTGGAAACCGAGCCAGTAGCCCAGACTCCACAAGTGACGAATCACATATTGCCCACTTCATTGCCTCAAAAACTGTGGGATCCTCAGATTGACATACCAGTTGCTGACAGCAGTGAAGAATCATCGACAATTGGTGGTCGTTTTTCAAAATGTTCGACAGAGCGCGAACGCATTTTGCGGCGTCGTAAGGACCACATGCTAATGACAGCACGACGAAAGTACGTGGAGAAGCAGAGGAAAGTTGATATTGAGAAGAAAGCATCAAATGCCCATGATCTGAGGTCTTAAGACAATTTGAGCAACAATTTTAATGCTAAACATGAAGAAAAATCACTGACTATTTTGAACATAAGCTTAACAGCTTTTTCGTGGACTCAATGGTCTCCGCTGATATTTTTTGGAATGATAAAATCGGTTGAATGCGTGAGTAAATTCAGAGTTGCATGTTGTTTCTCTTTGACGAGTGATGTTTGTTCAATTTTTTTTTGTTCTATTTCCTGTTTCTTAATTACACATTTACCAAGACTAGAGAGAAATAGGAGGGAAAAATAGATGAATCGTAGAGATAAACCTGACATACGCTTCGTTGGGACATCGAGGCATATCTGGATTCAAGTGTCCTACGACAACAGTTGTAATGTTTTTCTGAGATTAAAAATAATGTCTCTGGTACATCGACGATGAAACGACGGAACAAATTGATAATAGAATCAGATTATCGTTCGTCGATAGGATGAGAATGGAGGAGGCTGTGTTTTTACGCAATGTTATACTTAAAAGCAAATTTGAAATTTGTAAAACCAGTGCAAAGTCCCCCAATGGACTGCTAGAATATACTATTCCCTTTTTAACAGGAAACAAAAATGTGAATGCAAATGAGCTGTTCAGCGTAAGTGAAAATTTTAAAAAACTATGCAAGTCCGAATGAGGACGTCCAATCCTGTGAAGAGACACTGGATCAACAATCACACTAGAACTCACTGATTTCAAATGTTTGATATGCTTCACAAAAGCTCAGAATGTAACATTGAATTCCTAGGTCCGATTTGACAATAACACCGACTGGCAATTTGCATAATTGCACGAAAAAAATGATTTTTTTTTCTGCAATATAGACTACACCTAGTTTAAATAGTTTTCATACATAAAAACCGTTCCATTATCATGTGCCAAGATCCAATGAAAATTGATCCTCTCTTATTGCAGTGTACAATGACTCGCACTTGATGAGAGGACCATCCTTACACGATATGAGTGTTGCTAGATAAAGTCGGTGTTTTTAATTGTAATCATCTCTATTATTCATTAAAAAAAATACTCTCATAATTATCTTGATCTTAGGGTGGCTATTTACGCATTAGTTATCCATTTTTCAAGTGAATTTATCGCTCGTCTTCAGGACACAGCTGAGAATACTGTTGACAAAGAATTTTTTTTCATCTTTCAATGGAATTTTTGAGGAGATTTAGGCTCTGCATCCAGGCAACTGTACTTTAACCGCAGCAAAAACCATAATTGATGATTGAACTATGAAAATTTTGTCAGTGTTGGAGTTAAAAAAAAATTCTGATGAATGGGAAAACTAAGTATTACCGCATCTACTGGTTTGATATTTATTTTAGTGAGAAATGCGAGAGCTCAGGATGCAATATGAGATATTTACAACGTTTGCTCGGGCTTTCAGCTTTTTCCTAGATTGCTTTATGTGATATAATCCAAGTTTGCATACACGTCAATGCACATTAAATTAAACCTTTAAAGAAATAAAAGAAATGAAAATAATAAAAACCTAAAGAACGAGGAGGCTCGTCTGCTAAGTAAATGTTGAACATAATTTTGCCTTTGAAAAATGATTATTTTTCAATAAGTGAACTTTTATCGAGGCATTATCACCGCAAAAGATATGAGTACTCGTGAATAATTGAAGGAAACAAGTGAGTGAAATGATGTTAGAATTATGGTAAGAGTGTTGAGTGGTGCTAGTTATTGATCAATCATCCAAACGTATTTCTTTGGTATTTTGAAGTTTCTGATGTGAGGGACGTGATTTCTCATTTTAATTCAACTTATGCTTATTAATTTCACTCCTGGCCTCTCCTGGATATTTCCTTGCTCTTGTGATCAATAACTAGTACAAACTCGGTGAAATTTATGTTAAAGTAGATTATCCTTTCATCTTTTGTTTAGTGAAAAATGTTTCGCATAATTTTAATTATAGTATTAATTGAAAATATTTATTTCTTAGGATTATCAAGTGACCATAAGGGTATAAGATTAATATTTGTATAAACCTTATGATGTGTATGACAATGAGGCGTGTGTTTATCCTAGCATTTTCCACGGTCACTATTGCGTGTGTCATACTTACAAATATGTTTATTCTCCTGAAGATAGTTCTACAGGTATCTCCTCCAATTATTGTTCTTTTTTATTATTTTTGCGTTACGAAGTTGGACAATAATTTTTTTTTCATCATTTCGTTCAGTTTTTACCGGTTTGTTCTATAAGTTTAATTAGCCCACATATAAAACATGTAAAACGAAAATGACTGGTTAAAATAAAAAGTAAGAAAGTGCTCTGTTCACTGTAAATTTAATAAAGAAAACACAGCAGTCAAATGATAATGTAGACGATGTTTCATTGCGATTTTATTTCTTATTTTAGTTAGATCCTACCTCCGGGACATCATTGTAAATATAAAATGAATTTAGACAGCCTATATTCGTTTTTGTTTCATCAGTGAATCTTTCCTATTCTCCAATAGATCAAAGTCTGTCTGGAGCTTCGGTAACGTGGGGAATTGAAACCCAACATTGTGTGATTTCACTAGACAAGTAACTTTATCCCAAATAAGATCTGGGCATAGAGCATCTTGAAATCTTTATACCGTAGTTTCTCAACCGATGAAATTCACCACAACTAGATGCAGAATTAATTCCATAAATTTCTGAATACAAAATTAATTCAGATGATCTACTTTCGATGGGTTTTATCGTATAAACTTCCCTATTTCCCAATCAATAAAAACATCCGATAAATAGGAATCTCAAGTTTATAGAAATGATCAAAACTCTTTAGTATGCAAATTCCCTAGACAAATAACTTTATTTCAATATGAAAAAGACAATGACTTATGAGGATTGTTAGAGCATCTTGAAGACTTTACATCGTATTGTTCCTTAACCGATGAAGTTCATCACCACTAAATGCAGAATAATATGTGCAAAAATGAAATCAGCAAATCCACGTTCAGGACTGATGCCATAGAAGTGATTTTTATTCTGTGGATTGACTTGCAGTCTCAAGCAAACTGGAACAAGTAAAAACATTGAGTGTTTCTCTTCCCGTTGCAAATGTAGTTTTGGTTCTTAGATGTTAGGCGGGTTTATAAAGCTGTTAGTGAGTGATTTACCTGCTAGAACGAAGCAAGAGACCGCGGAAATGAATCCACTGAGGAAACTGTTGAAGGGGAATGTTCCAACCAGGCAGCAGTACACAAACTGGATGACACCGGTGAGGAAGATGTACAAGAGGTAGGCATCGATGATTTTGAGCTTTTTCACAGTGTTCTTCGAATACTCCTGCCAGAATTTTTTTACTACAGTAATTATTGACATTTTGGTAGCTATTCGGACAGTTTCTATCGAGTAAAAATGGTAAGTAAGGGTTGATTGACGCGTGGCACCTATAACGACAGCCCACGACAGCCCGGCTGTTCCATGATCATGAAATACATGACGACAATAGTGGGATGTAGAGGGGCATGCAGGCAATATCAATTGTTCACAACAGATTCCTACGGCTTCGACCGAGGAAGACACGGGAGGTGGCACCATCTGTGTAATAAACCCATCGTTTTTTTCAAAAAATTCAGTTCCCGTAAAGTTTGTAGACCAATGTCATGACGGGGAATTATTTCAAAATATGCAAATGCATCGACAATGAGCCACACATTTTGATCTACTGTTTTCTGTTCATTTTTGATCGAAAATATGTTCAAAATATTGCGATTTTCCATTAAATAATTATTCAAATTCAAGCGAAATTAAATCACCGATTGGAACGTTATTGATTTTCTTATGTGAACTGGAAAAGAAGTTTGAAAAATCGCGACGCAGAGGATGCTTCTCGATGTCTTCCTTTTTAATCTGAAGAAATGTGGGAATATATTGTTAAAATCATCAACAATGTCTGAACATTTTGCCGATGAACAACAGAAACCGCAATTTGAAAAAATCTCAAGAAAAGAAAGTTTGATTTCTTATTTTCACAACTCGTGATCGTCACGTTGGCTTCACGTATTATTCAGCAAACTTTATGAACTAATTTCCTGATTGGAAATCACTTCAAAATATTGAAAAGCGACTTTAAACCGCGCATCTTAACCCAGTGTTTTCTATTCATTTTCAATTCAAAATAGATTCGAAGTCTAGCAATTTTCCACGCAACAATTATTCAAATTCAACGGAAATTAAATCACCGATTGGAACTTTATTGCATTTCCTACGTTGAACGGAAGAGAAGTTTGAAAAATTCATTCGCGACGTATAAAATTCTTCCTGATGTCTTCCTTGTTATTCTATAAAGAAATCATCGACAACATCCGAACACTTTGCTGACGAACAACCGAAACCATAATTCGAAAAAATCTCGCGAAAAGAAAGTTTGATTTCTTCTTCTCACGTGGAGTTTCCACTTGTTCCGCGCACGTGAGATCGCCCTTCCCTCAATTCAAAAAACGCCAATCCCCCTACCATCTCAGCAATAAACCAACAACCTGAATAACTATCCTTCTCCTCACCGCATAATTAAAGAACTCCCGGGGTTAAAACTAAATGGCAAATCCATATTAATGAAAAAAAGCGAAGGTCTATCCCACCTCCGCGAAGGCGCGCAACTCTCGTGTTTTATCCCCGCCACTGCAAATGAACTCTCAGGGACCTCCGCAAGGCCCCATTCAGGTGGGCCCCCACCTTTTCCCTGTTTTCCTACACTTCTTACCTGGCCTGGCAGCAATCTCCTGTCTCTCACCTGGCTTCAGCCATCTTGAATATAATCGTGCTGTAGTTTCCCAAGTGTTTGTCCTCTTTATAACGCACAACGTATTATTTTAGATATATAATTCTTGGGAACGAAATAAGACTGGTAATACGAGCCACTGACTCGCCTCTGCATTTCACTGTGGTGCATCATTCCGTTCGGACTGGCACGTGAAAATAATTCTTGTCAGCATCGATACCAAATGCAACAGTGTTGACAACATATTGTTCACTCATTCCCATTCTCCGTCGCTTTTTAAATCGATTTAAACCGCATTCGTCGAGAGTGATTAGGTTTGGTGGCTCAATCAGTGCTATTGTGCGCTTACTATTGAAATTCGGGGATTATCACTGCAGTGCATTCAATACCTGTTTTCAATGGATTATGGAGGCGCGCCGGCGATCGTTTGACTCATCATCACTCGGAAATCTTCAGTAATTTAAAAAATTAAGGAAAAATCCAATTCCCAGATAATCCAAAGTGAAGGTAATTATTCTCGTTACACAACGATCATTCTTATCTCCTCAATTGCGAAAAGAATGACGTCTTAATTGCATCAAATGTCAAATCATAATTGGAAGTTTAAATAACCGTGGACAATTAATACATGACAGAATCGCGATAAAATGAATGAATCGAATTAGTTGCTCAGCGGAGTGTGAAAAGTAAAATTTCATTGTCTTTAGGGTTCAATCTTGCATGAAATACGATCCATGCATTTCAATAAATTACGATAAAATATTTGCCATTCCAGGATTGGAAATCAGAATGGGCTCAAAAATTGAATACGTCGAATCGTCGCATATGTACGCAACGAATTACATCCGTAATTCAAAAGCTATAGGAGTTTTGTGGGGTATATTCACGATATGTTATGCGATTATCGGTGTTGTTGCTTTTGTCACGCCAGAGTGGATTGGAGATCTGGAGCACGAGAATCCAGGGAGATTTGGATTGTGGTCACGCTGCAGTTATGGAGCTAATGGTAATTTCGTATTTTCTCTCAACAGGAAAAACCTATGTCTTTACCTGGCTTTTTTGTTCAAGGATATCCAATTTTTCGTGCAATTCGCTATGGACTGCACTATCTAGATTCCAAGATTTTCAATCATTAAATTTGGCAATTGAATTGCACGAGGAAAATTAAAAAAATTGATGAATGAATTAATCATTTTCGAACATGTTCTTCTCAGGAAATTATTTTTATCATTAAATGACATGATGAATATTCCGCCGAAAAGAGGCTTTTCATTTGTATTTGAATTTCGAAAATATTCCCTAACAGTTCAAACTGAAAAATTTCGACAACCCAAAGTTTAAATAATAAAATCATTGAGTATGCAGAAATTTGGAAAAGGAATTCACCTTGGAATGTCCTCAAACCTATTCTATTTATTTAATTTCCAGGTGAATTGGGCGAAGAGTGCATTGGAAGGCTCGACGATCTGTCGACAGTAGCGAATGTGCCATTCAGAGCTAGTACCATTCTCGTTGGTGTGGCTGTGATAGTAGCACTTCTATCCATTTGCACCATGCTTCTATTCTTTTTCTGCCAGAGCACCACTGTATTCTACATTTGTGGATGGATGCAAATCCTGTCTGGTAAGACATTTCGTTTCATTTCATCCCATTCCAGTTCATTTCATAAAGAGCGAACAGAACATGGCTAATTACAGGATCAAATTAAATACACATAAAATGTAACAATGAAATTAATAGCATGCACAGTTCAACATAATACGATGGAAAGCACTTTTACACAGCTATTTTATAAAAGTTATTGGATTACCTATTCTACCTAAATGCCTTTATAATATAAATTTACAATATTGTTGCACATTTGCTCCTCCCTTTCGAATACCTTCATGTACGATCGCCTTATTCTATTCCGTTATTCTCTCATCTCGTGTCTTCTTCCGCGAACGTATCTTTTTAATTTGTACTCTTTTTACTATTTATTTCGCCAAAAATTCTTTCTATAAAATGATTATTCATTAAAAGGGGTCTCTTTCTTAACAATATATATATTTTTTTACGTTGGGTTTATTATTTTATCACATGGTCGTTAGTTTTGGTCGATTTTACATTGTTATAATCATTTTGCATTTATTTATTAACATTGAAACTTTCCAAGCATTGAAAATCTAGATCAATCGAGAGGGCCAATTAATTGTAATGAATGAGGCTTTCTTGATTTCATTGGCTTCACGAACTCCTTCACCAGCATTAGAAAGCCTGACTCCTCTCACACTAGCCCTGTAATTATCCTCCCACAATTACCGCGCGTAATGCAAACTCGGAAAAACGTAAACATCCTGCTCAACCTGATGGAAAACGAATGACGCAATTCAGGGATTTATCACATCTGTTCATCATCAGTTTTATTGTCGTTATTATGCATTGTCAGTTGAACGTTTTCCTTTCACTCAACCTGCGATGGATGTGCCTCATAAGTGCATCCATTAGACCGAAAAAAGGTCTCTTACATTTCCTCCAGCAAGGCGTAACTAAAATTATGGATTCATTGCATTTCCTGGTCAATATAAGTTTGATGTTTCCTCCAGTGGTGGATGTGCACTTTTATGCGCCTCTCATTTCCTCATTTTACCCGGATTATTTTTACTGAACGGGGCAAACCGGTACGAGCAGATTGATGCCGAAATTTAACGCGTATAGCTGACCCACTGCTGTAGTGTTTTTCTCCTTCGGATCAATCGCGGATGTGCGCGTTAGCTAAAGGCTTCTCGCTGAACCTGTTCTCTGAATACCAATGTTCTAGTGAACTTTCCACACATACGGTGGTAAGTGGAGGTTCGCGAAAAAAAATTCAAAAACACAATTTTTCCTCAGGAATCCGATTTTGTAGGTCACATTCGTCTCCGACCGCTACAAATGAGAGATTCGAACTTTTTCGAATCGAAACATCAACTTTTGAAAAATCCCCAATGGATTTTTTTCGAAATGGTTTTTTAAATATGATCACAAATTTTCGCGCCTTAATTGTGAAAAATACTGGAGAATAAAATGGGGATTTTTTTGTTGAGTTGATTTTTCGATTAAAAAAAGTTCGATTCTCCATTTTTGAGTGACAGGAGACAATTATGACCTACAAAATCAGATTCCCGAGGAAAAATCGCAGGGAAAAGTATTTAAAATTTTTTTTTCTCGAAAAACGAAAAAGTTCAACTCTGAATTCAGGAGATGGACGGAAATTCAGATTCGTTTTTTTTTAGAAATTGTTGGTAGAGGGTATCCTGAATATTGACGATCATTGAAAATAGTGAAAGCTGATCCTATTCCTGCATAAAATCCACTCACTCTATTGCAATCGCATTGTCGATGGGGTAAGAGACATTTTGGTTTCGAAAATTGATGTAAAAAATGATTGAAATTACGCATGTGATTGCGGTCAAAGTTTGCCGTGCCACGCCACCGCACACGGCAAAAAAGAAATTCATTTGATGTCCGTTATCCGCTCTGGCATGGTCATAACACACGTGTATACTTCAGCTGAATTACAGTATTGTAGAGACAAACTACAGTTAACCATGAGGACAGAGAGAATCCAGAGGTTTATTTTCCTGGTCCCCTTTCACTGTCCGACCTCGCCTCCTATCTCCTTTCCTTTTTTCCCCTTTGCGAGCTATCGATGCACCTAAATGCCAGGCGAGAAAAACGTTATTTATTTTTGCATTCTTTTGCAATCGTGTGAAACTGTACTAGACTGCTTCCATGACTGCAATTACATCGATGGTTTATGGACGAGGTTTTTTTAAAATGCCGTTTAAGCACTTCCTGATGATCGTAAAATTGTGCAATTCACCTTTTTTCCCCACAAATTTTATTTCCCATTTTAATTTCAGCTGTTTGCATGGGTGTCGGAGTTGGAGTTTACCCACTCGGTTGGGATTCCCCGATGGTCAGAGCTGTCTGCGGGGCCTCGGCATCTCGGTAGGACGCGGTTTTAATGCAATTCCGGTTTTGTGAAAATTCCAATTACGTTGATTACCCTGTGAACTTTTAAATTAATGGCTCGTCGTGTACTTGATTAATTCATTGCAGGTATAATCCGGGGGCTTGCGCCATTAGATGGGCCATACCTCTTGCGGCCATTGCGGCGCTCGATGCCGTCACTCTAGCAGCGCTTGCCTTCATTCTGGCTTCTCGACATGTTAGGCTTCAGCCAGAACCTTTCAATAATGGTTCATTGTATAAAGGTACACTTTTCGGCACTTTTCGGATTCTCTTATGTCATTATATTTCCCTGGATGTTTTATTATTATTTTAAAAAATTCTGCAGCTTAGCTTTTTGCACAGAAATGTCGAGATTCATGTCGAGTAATTTCTATAGAATTCGCTAGGTTTTTCGATGAAAGTTTTTCGTGTAGTCCTCTGTTTGAATACTTAAATAAATAGAGTCGATGTCAAGATTCTTCAGCACTCTTATCTCGAATAAATAATCAAAAGATTCAGATTTATTTTGAAACGTCAGATTAATGATTGACATTATAAATTAACGATGAATCCAATGCATAATCTGAATGCACGGGAGATCATTCCAAAGTGCTAAAGTCCTCGTCCCCACGATCCCACGGCCCACTGACTAGAAAGTATTCCCGTATTGAAATGTAATCGGTGAAAACAATTGTAGAAATTGTTTAAATAAATTGTTAAAAATGAATGCTTCCTTTTTGCAGGCGAAGTAAATCCAGGATACGTCAATGAAGCGCAAAGTGTAGCTGGATCGAGAAAGTCATTGTCCTTGAGGCCAGTCCTACTCGTGGCACCACCTGAGCAAGATCGTTACAGTGAACTTTCCCGTGCAAAATCCCATTCACATCACAGTTTGTACGCCGCAGGACCTCATCCAGTTCACACACTATCAACAAACACACTGCACTCGCAGCGTAACTTTCAACTCTAATGTTTTCATTGATTACGACTGATTTGTCCGTAATAATCATTCATGTTACCTATTGATGATCGAAGCTAAACTTCGTGAGAGACCGGGTGGAGGATAGTCATAATACCCGTTTTGTTTTATTTGAGAGAAATAATATTCATCATCTTTTATCATCGGTTAATACTCAAGTAGTCGAATCGAGTGGCGAATGAATCAGAGCGAATGACTATCAGATATTTTTTTATATTCACTATTTTATTGGTCTCAAATGTGTATTGAATATGTATCTCGTCGTTAATTTTAGTCGTTTATATTAAATGTTTTTTTTTGTATTTCAAATGGCGACTTTTTGAGTCGTTCGGTTTGAGTAATTTTCCAAAAAAATTATGTCTATCATCAAGATCTGAGAGAAAATATAATAAACCGTTAATTTTCAAGAAAACGTCGTCTCTTTTTCTTTGAATTTGTGCGAAGATGAGAAGAAATTACGTAAAAATTTTGATGCTATTTCAATAGTATGATTTAATGGTAGTTCATTATGTCTCGGGATAGACTGGCAAGATACTCCTGGGAACATTTTCTCACTGGCTTCACTTTTTCACGGCGTAAGAACCTCTTCTTAGCACCTGAAATGGGTGGAACAATGGGTGAATTACGAAAATCCACAGAGCATTGCGGGACTATTGCTATACCGCCATGAAAATGATATTCCTCTTTCCCTTCATTAACAAAAAAAGTACACAGCGAAGAAAATACGAGAAATTTTCTTCATGAATCTAGATAGAATAGCGCGCCGCATAGGTAGTAAAATGAACTCGGTCCTAGCACGATGGAAATTAATTGTGAATCCGGCAAAAATTCTCGTATGCGCAGAAAAATGTCTCACATCGGGTTATATCCCGTGAATTTTCCCGTGTAAAAAACCAGTCCTCTTCATTCGAAAATCAGTAAATTTCGTCCGGCGGAGCCTCTTGCACCCAATTATTCACGTATTTTCTTTCTTCGTGTAATTATCAAGGGGTCAATAACTTCAAATAAATCATTTTGACTAGTCTTTAATATTTATGATACATGACAATTTGAATTACAATAATTTTCTTAATTCTCCGCAGTGACTACTTTAATATATTATACAATGAAATTTATCATGCTCCACGATTCACCTAAGAAACCTATTACTTCAGTACTCCTTTGATTGAAATTATCCTGTCTGTGAACGATATTCTTAATCTGTCGACAGAACGATTATTATCAATTAAATTCTTAAGCTAACGGTCGATTCTGCGCCTTTGATGTTTTCTTACACATGTATAATACTTTTTTCGCATTTCTGTCTCTCAATTCTTAAAATAAGCTGGAAGCTGTGCGAGAGAGAGAGAGAGAGAGAGAGAGAGAGAGAGAGAGAGAGAGAGAGAGAGAGAGAGA